GAAACATCACACCGAATAATTTTAATGCCAGTGTGAGTGAAACATCACACCGAATAATTTTAATGCCAGTGTGAGTGAAACATCACACTGAATAGTTTTAATGCCAGTGTGAGTGAAACATCACACCAAAAGATATAAAGTTGCTTTTTGCTATTCCAAGACTTCTTAGCATGGATGCTCAAAAGATGACTGGCCATGTTCTTGGTGTTCTTTTTTTTTCCCAAAGGGGCCATCCATCCAACCTTTAACTTGAAGAGCCTTTCCTGCAGCCTGGAGGTGTCCACGGATTCCCGTACAGTGACTGTGTCTCACCGCCCACAACCCTATCGCTGGAGCTGTGAGAGGTTTTCTACCAGCCAGGTCTTGTGTTCCCAGGCCCTCTTTTCTGGAAAGCATTACTGGGAAGTGGACACTAGGAACTGCAGCCACTGGGCAGTTGGGGTGGCTTCCTGGGAGATGAGCCGTGACCAGGTCCTGGGAAGGACTATGGACTCTTGTTGTGTGGAATGGAAGGGGACTAACCAGCTCTCTGCATGGCACATGGTCAAGGAAACTGTCCTTGGCTCAGACAGACCTGGGGTGGTGGGCATCTGGCTGAACCTTGAGGAGGGGAAGCTTGCCTTCTATTCGGTGGACAATCAGGAGAAGCTTCTGTATGAGTGTACCATCTCTGCCGCCTCTCCTCTGCACCCTGCCTTCTGGCTGTATGGCTTATATCCTGGAAATTACCTGATAATAAAGCAAGTAAAGGTGTAAGGTTTCCTCAGGGATTACAACACAGTGGTTTCCTGGTCTCTCTCCCTGTCATCAATCAGGGTAGTAACTTAAGAATACCACTTTTAAGAAAAATTACAATAGAGATTGGATCTCCCTAGGTTGCCCAGGCTGGCGTCGAATTCCTGGCCTTAAGCAGTCCTCCCACCTCAGCCTCCCAAGGTGCTGGATTACAGGTGTGAGCCACAACACCTGGCCAAGAATACCACTTTTGAAGTTAATCCTTTTGTGTGATACAGGATGAACTTGGGATGTTTGAACCCTGGACATTCCAAATAAAGGACAGGCCCCTGCCCGGCTCCTGGGAGATAAC